TCTTAAAACACCTTTTTAAATGGTTTCAAAGTTACCATAACTTTCTTGGTGATGATCACGTAGTTAAAACTGATTTCTAATCTAAGCTGTGAATCCGTGATATTTAGGTGTGAAAAATTAGTAATTATTAGGTGTCTTAAAACACCTATTTAAATGGTAGTCAAAGTTGCCAGCAGTTCCACGGTGATGATCTCGTGACTCAAACGGAATATTAATCTAAGCTGGGCATACGTGACTTTTAGGTGGGAAAAATTAGTTATCATTAGGTGTCTTAAAACACCTATTTAAATGGTAGTCAACGTTGCCAGCAGTTCCGCGGTGATGATCTCGTGACTCAAACGGATTATTGATATATTCCGTGTTTTCCAGGTGTGAAAATGAGTTATTCTTGCGTGTCTTGATGGTTTCACAGTTACCATTTAAGTTCCGTGGTGATAATCCCGTGTCTGTTGGCATATTTCTATGTTCACCAGTTGATAACTGACTGTTGGCATATTTTCATTGCACCAGTTGATAACTGGAGTGTGCATATTTCCAGTTGCATCAGTTGATGACTGAGTGTTGGCATATTTCGAGTTGAACCAGCTGACACCAATTAATTTGCATATTGAATATGGGGTGCGTGCAGATCTATGTTTTTTAAACAATTTATCTGAATTTACAGCATATTTCTTAATTACTGTTGATTTAGTTATATGCAATTCATTTCGAAAATACTACAAATATAAATTACCAGTTATTAGGACATTTCGCTACTTCGTATAAATTACATTTAGTTAAACATGAATAAGGGAAACAATAACTATGACCTAAAATAATTTCAATAAAGTACAAGTATACGATTTTTTTTCTCGATTAATTCAATTATGTAAGTCTACTTATTACCAATGCCTTCACATTGGAAATACAGAGTATTGAAGCACTGTTGCTGTTCAACTGGTTGGAAGTTTTACCAAATGGTTTTAATGGCTCAGCTAGACCAGTTGAATTATAACTGGCCTGGATCAACTGGATCATTTAGCCCATTTCAATTTCCAGGGTTACCAGTTATATGGTTCATCAACTGGACCAGTTGCAACTAGCTTTCTCTTCTGGGATGTTTGCACCCACCCCCCCCCCCCCCACCCCCTCTAATCCCAAACTGCTTCCGGCGCGCCTGGACGTAACTATGGAAGATCCAAGACACGATGTTCAGAAACGGGATGAAAACGTCAATATTTTGGTTCATTTATTGTGTAACATTTGCGTAATTATTGGGTTGAACGCGGGTTACAGTAACATACTTCCTCTTCGACGTAAATTTCACGTGAATAAAGAACATGATCCATCTCAAGTCAGCCTCGTAATATTCACGTGAATTTCACGCAGATATTTTGACTAAAACTATCACTAACGCTTCACGTGTTTCTGTGACGCGATAATTTCGTTTATGAAGAGGTAATTTCATAACCAAACAAACACGGGAGTATTAGGTTTACAAACCATGGTCTCCAAGGTAGGGATAATCACGTTATTATAATGGTGATATTGCAGTGACAATTGCGTGATTTAGTGCACGTATGTTTTAAGTTACCTAGTGCAATAAACGTATTAACACATTTACGTAAATGTCAGGTGTTTGAAGAACGTAACTCTCCTCAAGTCGATACCTTGATATTGACGTGATTTTCACGTGATTTTGTTTATTGGGAGCTCCTTTTTAGAAAGTGCTTTCTGATGAATGTTCCACGATGAAAAGACTGCACAAAAGACTGATCTTTACAATGCACAAAGTCAGTCAGAGAAGTGTATAAACAAAGTACAAATGAATAGACCCCATTGTGCTCAGATTGTAATCCAGATGTTCAGGTTCATCCAGGCAAACACTGTACAATAGATGATGCTACTTACACAGTGATATATAGGAAGAACATGGCAAACCGAATACTGCAAAATCAAATCTATCCAAATACTTTTAGAGCAAGCAAAAAGCATGTGCAACATGCTAGTGCGCTCATCCAATCTGTCTTCAGTTCTCCCCCTCCCGCGCAAAGCGCGGAAGTTTTGGCGTTTCATTAAATTATTAGAGAAAGTAGACGATTCGTTGAACCGTGCTCGACTTAAAAGGGTGCCGAGACTAAGAAAGGGTTGAAAAACGCTGCCTATTCCAGGTAAGACTAGTAAAACTTTCATCAGTTCAATTTTTCCTATGGGGTATGAACAAGATCACCTAATTTGATTGCCATACTAGTTTTTTTCAACCCATTGTTTTTCCTCCAATCTAGGTTTTAGTTGGCTTCCAAAGGTACACGATTAAGAAGAACCAAATATTTTGAAATAGTATTGAAAGAACTCGAGCTTTTAATATTCCACTTGCTTTTGTAAAAAAAAAAATTATTAATAAATTATTGGGCGATGATAACCTAAGAGAGAATAATGCTGTTTAAAAACACGGTTATCGATTGACCGGTGTTGGTGGATGTGATGATGAGGATAACGATTTGTGGTAGTTGTGGTATTGAAGATGATGATGGCGGTAGTTATGATGATTATGGTGGTGATGATGATAATGTTGGTGGTGATTGGTGATGGTGGTAGTAGTGATGATGATGGTGATAATGAATAATCGTAGTAGTGGTAGTGATGATGACGGTGATGGTGGTAGTGATGATGATGAGGATAACGGTTTGTGGTAGTTGTGGTATTGAAGATGATGATGGCGGTAGTAATGATGATTATGGTGGTGATGATGATAATGTTGGTGGTGATTGGTGATGGTGGTAGTAGTGATGATGATGGTGATAATGAATAATCGTAGTAGTGGTAGTGATGATGACGGTGATGGTGGTAGTGATGATGATGAGGATAACGGTTTGTGGTAGTTGTGGTATTGAAGATGATGATGGCGGTAGTTATGATGATTATGGTGGTGATGATGATCATTTTGGTGGTGATTGTTGATGGTGGTAGTAGTGATAATGATGGTGATAATGATGATAATGGTGATAATAATCGTAGTAGTGGTAGTGATGATGACGGTGATGGTGGTAGTGATGATGACGACTCCAATTATGGGGATCCAAATCATCTTAATTTAGAGGATATAAAATGGGTTGAATATTGAATGTATGTAATTTGCAACAGCTTTCATTAGGATCTTTAGATTCTTCTGGGCCCTGTATCATAAAACTTTTGTTAAAATCAATATTAACAAGTGTCACATTCATACAAAAAATTTGCTCACAGCAAATCAAATGCTTCGATATTACCAACTTGTAACAGTTATTGTAACTTGTTATCATTATTATTTTTATTTATCTATTATTTATTCATTTATTCATTTATTCATGTATTTATACGGCGTTTTTAATACATAGAAGAAAAAAAAACATACAATTGATTGAACAAAATATGGCAACACTTTCATGGACACTGGTGTTCCAGAGCGAGCGCCTGGAAAGGTTAAGCTCCACTTAATAATCATGGCCCCGAGGCCCTCCTTCCTATAACTGGTACAGTGCACAAGTATCTAACAATTTATTTTAAAATTGACAACATAAAATATATTTATAAATGTAATGCTTCCTGGGAGAAATTGCAATTGCCGCTGGTTCCAAGACTTTTTGTGACTTGTTTTTCATTCGCAGATCGATCATATTTACTGGGTGTAAGCCACAAATATGTGAACACAAACAAATATATTACAAAAGATGGGAGATTTAAATACAATACAAATACATTAAATACATGAGAATCATAACATAATACTGTCACAGAGGGTAGTCCTGGGTAGTGTTTCACAAAGACTAAGACCGACTTTAAGTTGGACCTAAATATGACAGGCCATTCATGCCACTGGTTGCTCTCACCATTGGTCTCTCAATTATGATCTTTAGATAATATTTTTTCCTTCAATAATGAATTATCAAAAAAAACTCAATGCAATAGATGTGTGACCATGATGTGTACGTCCCTTGAGAGACGATGGCCAGTATTTAAAGGTAAAGACCAGTTTTGGAAACGCCCCCCTCTCAAAAAAATGAAATGAAAGCTCTTATTACCAATCATGTGAAAGAATATGTTTTGACTAATACATGATGATAAAAAAATTGCCGGGAAACCGCCTACTAATTGATATATTTGGTAAATTAGTTTATCTATTGGGACCAAATAGATAATACGAACCTGTCGCGCACATGTGCGTAGTCCCATATACATCTTTCCGTGTACAGTGCTTGTAACTTTACGAAGACTGGGCCAAATTTCTTATCATTTTGATGATTCCAGAACGTTGCTGTGCACACCAATACTTGTATGCTAGATGATCAACCTTTTCTGATCGATTCCACGACGTTTCTTTCATAATGCAATCGCATGACCAGAACTGGTCTTTATCTTTAAAACGGTGACAGCAAACAGTGGCATGAACAGCCTGCCATAGTTAAGTTCAACTTATAGTCAATCTTTGTTTTTTAAACACCCCCCTCCCCTGTTTTTTCCCCTTTCTTCTACATATGTCTCAGTGGTGTGCGCACCGGCTCGCACCCTTCAAATATGTACAATAGAATTACGCACGAGTTTTTGATTTCTGGTACGTTAGATGAGTTCGCGCACGCACTCATCAAATGTAAATATTAAAAACGACAAGAATCTGGTCCACATGAGGAGCAGAGGTAGGAGCCACTTCTATGAGCACGCGCTCTAATATTGATCACAAGTTTAATTTTATGAAACGGGGCCGTGCTCTCGATCGTGTTTTTTTAGCGCAAGGTTTTAGCACAAGATTGGCCCATACATATTCAATAAAATCGTATTCAGAACTGAGCATGCGTAATTTGTTCTCCTTTAAATCTTGTCTCGCACCTCCAACGGTGAAAGATACAGAAGTGAAATCTTGTTCCTAAAAAAGCTATAAAAATAGACTGTTAAGGAACAAGATTGCCAAGATACGAAAGTAACTTGATATTGTCAGCTAATTGTGTGAATCATATTAGTCTACAAGCAAGGGAATGAATTCTACCATGTCTGGCGTACTGCGTACAACGGGAGCTCCAAACTGGCTGACCAATTTGAGTACTTTGGTTTCGTTTACGGAAGGCGTCGATGACATCGTCCCGTCGAGTCCCTACTCTCCCGACGTTGTTATAATATTATCGGTCATCGTAGGAGTAATCATCTTCATAACCGTCGTCGGTAATCTTCTCGTCGTCGCGGCGTTTTGTACGACTCCAAAACTCCGCACTTACAACAACTATTTCATCCTGGGTCTCGCCATCGCCGACCTGCTTGTTGGAGCGATCGACATGCCCCTGTTCGCCATCGTCATCATCATGGGACGATGGCCGTTTGGCGAGGTCTTCTGCGACATCTTCACCTTTCTCGATCACGCTTTAACTCATATCAGTATGCTCCTCGTCACCTTAATCAGCCTCGATCGTTGCGTCGCTGTCTCCGCTCCCTTTTGGCATCGTCAACACTGGCGACGACGCTCCCGTGCGATCCTCATCATAGCTATTGGCTACATTATCCCCGTCATCATCTGGCTGCCAACGACGACTCTTTGGCAGATCATCAACGGGAACGAACAGCGACCCTTTCCCAAAGACGTCTGCGCACCTTTGTACTTTCAAAGCGTCGTTGCTGGGTTCCTTGTCCCCGTCGCTTACTTCGTCATCCCGTTCGTTTCAACCGCCGTTCTCTGCGCCAGAATCTACATCGTCATCAAGAAATTCTACAAGGGACGGAAGCAGCTGAGACTTGCATTGGGGATCATGCAGCCGACTACCTCTGTAGAGCCACCGAATCACCTCGGAACTCGTGAACGAACGACATCGCTTTCCGTCTCTACGAAGACGGATGATGTTGGTAAGGAAGAGAACGCCAAAGACAACAAAAAGAAAGAAATTGGTACAGAGAGCATGAAAGGTATGTTGACAAGGTGTTAATGTTTAACTTACTCTGTTCACATTGATGTAGATTTTATATGTATTGTAATTTATAGGTTTATTTGTAATTTCTTGTCTTTTTAATATGTAATTGTTTATCAATGTATTTTAATTGTTATAGCGCTTAGAGACTTCGGTGGTAAGCGCTTTATAAGCACCATTGTTATTATCATTCATTATTATAGATTGTAAAGACATTGAAATTATCAGCCATTTAAGAATCAAAAGGAATACCCCGTGTGTTATAGCCAAAGGAAAATAAATGTTTAAAATGTATTAATATTATTGTGAGTGAGGAGTTCCACTCTTATCAGGTAAAATAAAAATTTACATTTTATTGGTGTCGACCCTTCATTAAAGGTTGGGTGGAAGGGGCAAACCCCACCTTCACGTCCCACCCCCAGTGTTATTTAGGGTACGCGTATGCATGTTCCCTTCTTTTGGAAACACCCCCTAAGTCCGTGTGTGTAAAGTCAATACGGGCCGATTTTGTGTGTGTTACGAGCCGGACTTTGCTGCGTAAAAAGTACCCCTTTACGAGGGCGCGTTGTGTAATTACTTGAAAAAATTCAAAATGTAACAATGATGAAATAATTTAAATAAGTGGCTTTCGCTCGGCGTATAACATAAAAATCATTACAAAATGTGAGACTTTAATTGACAATTGAAAACTGAATGTTGTCATGAAGGTATAGATGACACGTTTTTATATGGCATTCTAGGGGTATGAGACTCAATACTCACTTTTCAATAGGTCCAATGAAGGGCGTGTATCTGATAAATCTTTCATCTGGAAAATGCATTCCAGGGTGCAAACGGGTTAGAAGCCAAAAAAATATACAATAATTCACTCATTAAAAAAAAACAAGACATTGTATAACTTAGATAATTGAATCGCGATAGTAATCAGTTGAAAACAGTTTGCTTGAATGAATAAGGGAAAGAAAACAAACAAAATGAAGAACAGTAATAAATTGCAAAAGGGCTCCCTTGCTTTAAGAATGTCCGCCTATCTTTATTAATGATCGTCACTGTTTAAATACATCCTGATATTTTGACCCAGAATAAACACATTGTATCCAGAATAAACAACCTTGCATAACCGGCATTTCACTGTATTGCGCAGCATTCCAAGTTTTTAATCATGGGACTATACTTCCTACCTGAAATGAATAGTAAGAAATGCAACCAACCGAAGTAATTTCAAAACTGTTTTGGCGAGCAGACATAAATGGTGATATCAGTCTTATAGATTTGCAGGAGATGTAAAGACAGGGACGGAGATAATGGTAAATTTATACTTTAAAAAACTACCCTTTTCTGTCAAGGAGCAATTGAAAGGGCAAGCCAACCCAGTCCAAAAGCAGAAACACAAGATAAACAGAATGGTGAAAGTTAGAAGAAAAAAATCAGACCAATAATAAAAGAAAAACATTTAAATGATTGAAATATGATATCACTAAATGTCAAGTTAACAGTCCGTATCAGTGAATTGTGACGTGGTCGAGTATAACTCTCCCGTTTGTCGTGTAAAAACATAAAGATACATTTCTGTTTTTTCTCTTAAGTGCTTTCTCACATAGGGCACTATTCAAAATATACAGTGGATAGCATACAGTATTGTAATAAAGCGAAAGCGAAAAGACCCTCCTGAGTTATCAAGGTTTTACCATTCATTGTTGTAGTCATTTTGTGTGTTGGAACAAACGGGAATGTGTCCGCCACAGAGACATTACCGACTCAGCCTAGAGTGACAACACATTTTTTTTTATAATTCATAACCTTCTTATTTTTCGTCCGATTTCATTCAAACTTTCACCAGTTTGCTTTCCTCTAGAGAATTATGTTATCATGGTTGGGATTTCCCTTTAAAGGTACTATGTCCCATTTGCAGGCCAAAAAAATTAAAAGGTTAAATTCCAACGGCATTTGAAAGATAATACTAATTTTTGGAACTTCCCTAAAAAAAAGGGGGAGGGGGGCTTGAAAATTTCATGAAGTGGTAAAACAAGGAGTATTAGTTGTCGAATCGACATAAGAGCTATAGAGCCAATAAGTAATAGTCTGATTTTCAGACTACGCAAATATTCAATCAGTTTAATTTTGGTTATTACAGGAAGTTATTAATGGTTATAAAGGGTTATTAATGTAGACAAATGCTCATGTACCCTTTACAGCTCATTTTATAGATGTTATTACCGAAGAAGAAAAAAAGCCTGTCAGTCACTCAATAGTGTCAGACAGTGAAGTCTAGCAAGTGAACGGATTTCCTTGCATAATTTGAATATGAGGACACGGCTAACGTTTAAATTTCACAGATAGGACATACATGACATATTCACAATTCCTGCAAAGTTCTACAGAATTTGATGTTGGCTGCAAAAGGGACATAGTACCTTTAATGACTGTTATGAAATTATAAAGTTGTCCCGACTAAACTGTCCCTGATCTGTTGGTTCATGGGTTTCAGAGTCGTATGTGCCTGGAGGGAAAAAAGTGACCCTCGTGCCTCTCCGGTGCTTCGACAAAGGCTCCGGCTACATTTATTGAAAGTTTTAATTAGTCAAAATTATCGAGAAGGGTTAGGGTTGAATCGTGTTTTAGGTCAAATTTATGTTTAAGCTTGGGGTTAGGTTTTGAGTAAGGTTAAATGCAATGGATATTTTTTTTTTATGAATTACCGCGGAGTAAATTTTCCAGCGGCTCTTGGATTGAGTTAATTCGGACAAAAAGAATTAAAAAGGGGAGATGTAGGGAAAACCACCGCTGTATTGCCTTCGTTTTTAATTTACTAATTATTATCAAATATTGTCTATTCAGCTGGAGCATTTTAACATCGTTGACCCATCTGTTTAATTAAATAAATAGAAAGTCAGAAGTAAAAGAATAAAATAACAACAAAACACGCGCTTTGAAAAATCGATTACAAATTTAACAAAAGGCAAAAGAACCTATATTGGTCGTGCCACCAAATATTATATTTCATCTAAAACTTATCTTCCTCAGGCGTGCGTATCTTGACTTTCATTGTCTCTGCGATGTGCATTGCCTGGTTTCCATCAATCATCGTTACCGTGATGTCACCTCTTTGCCAAACATGTGTGCCAAGTATCGTCTATTCGGTGAGTAAAGATACATTTGTTGCCATGGTAACCGATTGATAATTGAGTTTTAGCTCGCGCGCTGATCCGCTCAAGATTATTACTTAATTAAATTTAGGTCACTTTCCATGTATATGTATTTTTTCTTTCTCGTAAAGTATTTTATAATGAGGAAAGAACTCCATGGTTTAGCTGCTTAAGGAGGAGGTTGAGTTCTGGGAAGAGGTGACAAATAATTTGTGAGCGTTATCATTGTATTATGCAAGTGTGGAAGAACATCAGAGAAAAAAAGCTACCCTGAAAAGCATGGCTCTTCAAATGCCTTAAAGGTAATACAAAGTTTTGGGAAATTTTGAAAATTGGGTGGATCGTGATTCTAACAATTTTTGATATATTTGGATGCCCCTGTGGATGTATTATAAGCACTAGAAAATTTAGCCCCTAAAACAATTCTGCTTTTGAGAAAAATTGAATATAAAAATTTACCGGTGCTCCCGGTAATTGTTGATTAATTTCAAAAAGCGCATACGGCTGTACAATGGTAGCTGCGACCATGAAACTCTCAGAATATGTAGTTGTGATATATAATTTTCAAACGGGAACAGCTAATCGGTCGATTTTAGTCAAAAACATTGTTTATAGCTTAATTAATTTTTTGACCTTGAGAGGGAGCTATACATCATAAAGAGTTTATTATTTACAATTTCATAACTTTAGACTCGATTTCAGCCGCGAAAACGATCACTAAATATTGTAGGATCGCATATGCTCCCAATATGTTCATTTGAACCAAATTCATGACCCCATACCAAAACTTTGTATTACCTTTAATATTCTAAAAATGGCATGTAACATTATACAATCGGGACGGATTTTTATGCCACATGTTTTTGTAATCACATCGTTCTGTGACCAGTGCTTGTGACTTTACCAAGACTGGGCAAAATTTCGTATCATTTTGATGATTCCAGAACCTTGCAGTACACACCAATACGTATATGCTAGATTATCGACCTTTTCTGATCGATTCCACAACGTTTCTTTCACAATGCAATCGGATGACCAGAACTCAACTTTATCTCTAAAGATATCCTGTCGGGTTTGAACGGGCGGGACTACCCTGACTTTAGAGAAAGCTTTAGTAAATAAATAATAGAATAGACGAAAGAAAACGCTTTGCCAAAAGAAAAAAAATGTGTATACATAGAAGTTATGCTGATCGCCTCCCATCGATTGATATATGGCGCATTTTGTTGTTGCCAGATTGCCTTTAAAAAAAAGGCATGAATCATGTTGCTACCCACTGTAATCGTACTAGCCAAATTCTGTGTAAAATTGCTTCAGAACCTATCTGCTTCACTCTAAGTTTACCAAGGGGTAGTTCAAACCAGTTAAAAACAGTATGGCAGAAATAAGTATAAGTATAAGTATAATAATTTACTGTCTTTTACAGGAAATTTGTTTTCCACTGGTTACAGAGTATTACAATACAAATATATAAATGAAATATTACAGGACAGTGATAAACATAAACATTATGATAAACATACAAAATGAATGAGATAATATGTGAGTAAGCCACGGTATATATGGTGGTTATAGAGGTAATATCAGATTCCATTTTACAAAATATGAAGCTAAATTATTTAATTTTCATTGATTATTCCATAGTAAATCTTAAAAAGATAATAAATACATAAATTATTATTATTATTATTATTATTATTATTATTATTATTATTATTGTTATTATTATTATTATTATTATTATTATTATTATAATTATTATAATCGATTATCAGTTTCAGTAGTATAATTAATACCGGCATCGTTATAATTGTTAAGTTTATTGATGACACATAGATTGTAGTTACTGGCT